TCCAGTGAATGTGTGACCTGTCCCATCTAACACTATTTAGATATGTTTAGAAGAAGAAGAAGAAGAGATTGGATTTATACCCCGCCCTTCACTACCCAAAGGTGTCTCAGAGCGGCTTACAAAATCCTTTCCCTTCCCCTCCTCACAACAGACACCCTGTGAGGTAGGTGGGGCTGAGAGAACTCTTGACAGAATCTGCTCTTTTTCAAGAACAGCTGTGCCAGAGTTATGGCTTGCCCAAGGTCATCCAGCCAGGTGCAAGTGGAGGAGTGGGGAATCAAACCCGGTTCTCCCAGATTAGAGTCCGCGCACTTAACCGGTACACCAAACTGGCTTTAATCAAGGTGTGTTTACTGTAGCAACATTTCTAAACCTGTGGGTTGGAAAACCTGGGGAAGTGGGGTGCAGGCTCTTCCATGGATGGATCTAGCCAGCACCAAACTGGAGACAGAAACAAGTGGGCTCAAAGCTTTCTTGTTACAAGCACAGGAGAGAACTGCAGAGGATAACCATGTTAGTTTGCTGTAGCAAACTAAAACAATAAAGACTAACAACATTTATTTCAATATGAGCTTTTGTTTATTTTTATTTATTTTATTTATATTTGGATTTATATCTCGCCCTACCCCGAAGGCTCACTTCTTCAGTTTATTGTCTCACACAAGTTCTGCATAGCTCCACTGGAAAAGGTGGCTAAGGTAGACCTTGGTGAGAGATAATAAGTCTCTGGCAGGTGAAAGCAGTATCCCTCTGAAGCAGAGGCTTTTGCAAGATTGGGCAGCAATCCTGTTCTTTCAAAAATTTATGTCAGTCTCTTTGCTGTTTTTAATTTTAACATGGGAAACAAAAGTTGCAGCGCATGCACAAAGAATCACACCACTTCAGGATTAATTAGGAAGGAGAATAATGCTGTCCAACCCATTTGGTCGTTGCTCACCCCTAAATGAGAAAAGCACTTCCTCTGATTAGTATATTAAAAAATATGTTGTTTTTGGATTTTTCTTTGGACCAAAGTGGCTATCCAGTACTTCTCTTTCTCATCCCCACATCTGAACTAATACTTCCTCGATCCCTTTGATGGACTCCCTGCTAGTTAGTGGGTCTGGGGGACACCTAGGGTTTCCAATTCTAGATTGGGAAATTCTTGGAGATTTGGGGATGGAGCCTGGGGAGGAGGAAGAAGAAGATGAAGAAGACGACGATGAAGAAAATATTGGATTTATACCCCACCCTTCACTCAGAGTCTCAGAGCTGATTACAATCTCTTGCCCTTCCTCTCCCCAGAACAGACACCCTGCAAAGTAGGTGGGGCTGAGAGAACTTTTTCAAGTACAGCTCATCAGAGAACAGCTCTGAAATAACTTGTAACTGATCCAAGGTCACACAATCAGCTGCATGTGGAGGAATGGGAAATCAAACCCGGTCCTCCCAGATTAGAGTCCACACTCCTAATCACTACACCAAACCGGCTCTCAAACTGGAAGGAAGTTAGGGAGGGGAGTGACCTCCTTGGTTTCTTTTTACATAAGAAGCAAGGCAAAATTATACACTGCTTTCATAGATCTTAAAGGGGCATTCGATTCAATTGACAGGGAACTCCTTTGGACCAAACTAGTACAACTAAATATAGACAAGAGGCTCCTTAACCTTATAAAAAAGCTATATACTTCTACAAAATGCCAAATTAAATGTTCACTGTCAGGGAAATTAACTTCAAAAATCCCATTCAATAAGGGAGTCTTTGGCCCCGTGAAACGGATGGGTTGAGGGTGGATTAAACCGGCGCAATCAGATGCCAACATCTGGCAAGCGTCGCTCCCCCGCCCCCAACCTGTCCCTTCCGTCGGAAAATGCGGATTTAAAAGATACCAGCAAAACACTACTACCTACTTGGAAATGCGCAGCATGGGTGGTCGTGTGATCGCCGATGTGCCCGTATCCCATGGTATGCAAGGCCCTGCCACACTGCACATGCGGACAACTGTGCAGCTGCCTTGCCTCGCCCTTCGTCCCATCACTTCCCCCTTGGCATGTGATCATGGCGGGGAGCAAATGCGCCTCACCTCGGGGGATCTGTGTGATCCCGATACCACACTTCAATTTGCTGCGCCTCTAAAAAGCCGCACTTCTGCCGCAGCTTTTCCCGCTAGTGTGACCAGGCCAAACAAGGTTGTATATTTGCACCCTTTCTTTTCAACCTGTTCCTAAATGTTTTTCCCTTACCTTGAAGCTGTTGATGGCCATGCTCCTAAATTGGGTTTTGTCCATGTCCCTCTACTATTATATGTAGACGACATGGTACTACTGTCCTGCTCCAAAATTGAGTTAAAGCATTTACTAAAGAGATGCCTTTCATATTTTATAACAAATAAATTACTTCTAAATCATGAAAAATAAAAAATACTTGTCTTTTCCAAAACTTGGAAACTATTCAAATGGACAATTGGACAAGTCAAAAATTTTAGATACTTAGGTTTGCACTTCCAGTATAACACATCTTGGTCTTTGCAATGAAACTCAGTAATAAATAAGGCTAATGTCAATGCTTCCGCGATTTCCCAATTTTTCTACACCAGAGGCAATCAATTCATATCAGCTGTATTAAAAGTCTTCAAAGCCAAAGTAATTCTACAACTCATGTATGGTATTTCAATATGGATAAGCACACTTAATAGCACCATTGGAGATATTCAATCTAAATTTCTCCGAAAGATCATGGGAATGCTGTGCTGTGTACCTTATGCAGCTCTATGTTTAGAAACTGGGTTAAATTCTGTGGAATCTGGTGCATGGCTTACATTACAATGTAGACTAAGGGAGCCTCATACAACACATGCTCACACAGTCAAATATGTCTAAATGGCTATCATACATTGAGAATAAAATAACTACCATGGGCATCCCATTGGACTTATTGTTTATGCTTCCATTTATAGGCGCTTTTCATATGATTTAAATGTAGAGTTCTCGATGTTGAAATTCAAAGGCTTTACACCTTAGCCAACAAATCTTGTTCCCCCTTGAACTTTGAGATGCCCCTTATGGTAGGCCGAATGACCCCATATCGGCACCTATATGGATCCAAAACTTTAATTAAAAAGTAGAACTAATACGTGCTACCTTTTCCCATAGGATTTTAGGTTTTCCTAACTCTGTATCTTATTTCTCTCTTTGTGTGGAGTTAGGCGCCCACCTTATTGAATCTCGGGCGTGGATCACCTTTATTATATATTGGTTGCATTTGCACTTTAGTTCTTCCCCCAACAGCGTTATTGTTCAACTTCTTGCAGACCCATATATTTCTACTTGGTCACAAACTATAGTGCAGAAAATCAAATCCATGGGAATTGATTTGGCCTCTCTGTACAATTGTGGTGAAACAGCTATTTTGCAGGTGGTGCGGAGGAGGATTTGGAATATGGAAGCCCAAATAATTAATGCTGGGAGTTATGGAGTCTGTTCCCCACACTTCCTTGACCTTCCCCCCCCCAAGCCTCTATAGCTTTGTACATCTCTAATTTAACAATCCCACTTTATTGGCGGGTTTTTATGCTAGCGAGATTCAATCTTTTCCCCTCAGCTGTTGTTTTAGGCAGATGTAGGGGTATACCCTATAGGGCCAGAACATGCAATTGCCTCTATAGTGAACCTGATTCAGTTACTCATATCCTTCTACGTTGTCCTCATTATTCTACTATGCGTAGCTATCTGATTAGTCCCCACTTACCTACCACAAGGAATCTGACTGACAACGACCTTAAAATTCTATTGTCTGATAAGTTCTCGGCAATTACTTTGTCTGTTGCCAAATTCTTAGCCTATGTTTGGAAGCTTAGGGTAAGGGCGTACAAGTCCTAACCCCCTTGTATTCTTTAGAATTGTTATATTCCCAACTGAGTTTATTATTTCCGAAAAGTTTAAAAACGATCCCTTGTTAGTGCAGAATGGTGTAATTTCATTCTATTTATTTTTCATTTGTTTCATTGTTCTCTTTGTTGCTGTGTTATGCCTATAAAGGTCTATGCAAGAGAGAGACCCCAAGCACCGCAACAGCGCAGAGTCTTTCCCCTAGCAAGATTCAATGTAATACCATCAGCAATCTGGTTATACTTGGTTTTGTTCTAATTTATAAATTTTTAAAAATTATTACTTTTTAACTTCAACAATTTTAAACTTACTTCCAGTTCCATTTAGGGGTTCAGCCTTTGATAACCTTTTAAATGGTCTATAGCTTTAAGAAAGAAGCATGTAACTTGCAGCTGCATGGAATCAATCAGAACAGTTTCAGTTCCAACCTGAGAGGTGGAGAGCATTTATCAGCTTATTTAAGAAGAAGGCTTTTAGCCAGATAGAAAAGAAGACGGAAATGTTACTTCTATAATCTACTGGAGAGCAACTGAGCCAGCAACCTGAGATAGAGAGCCAGCCAATTTGAAATAAGAAGGCTTCTAGCCAGATAAGAAAAGAGGACTGGTTGCTACTATTAAGAAATTAATTAACTGGCTTGCTCCTACTACAAATACTTGAAATGGAACTGGAAGTAAGTTTAAAATTGTTGAAGTTAAAAAGTAATAATTTTTAAAAATTTATAAAAGTTTGTTTTAGGATAATTTGAAAAAGAAAAACTGCAATAATTTGAAGAAAGTAAAAAAGATGTTAATGCTGCTACTATTTGAAGGAAGCAAAAGAAGTAGTTAAAATGTATCAAGAGGCTGACACCTTCTAACATAACAGGACTACTCCTGAGGAAGATTGTTGAAACCCCATATGGCCTGAATGAGCATGTTGACTGGTGTGCAATATAATCTTGTTGGTATAGCATGTATTTTTTATATATATATGGACTGTTCTATTATGTATAAATTTGTACTGTTTCTTTATCCCTTAATGGTATACTCTATGTGTAAGGTGCAATCACATGACCAGATTACCTTATTATAAAGCTCCAGCATTTTAAACTTATCCACACTGCTTTTTACTTGTGAACATTGTGGCAACACAATCTAAGAAGGTTATTTGTGGACCATAGGTAACTATTTTACAATTATTACTATTATTATGCACTTTTGGCTTTTAAATTGCTTGATATACTGATTTTCATTTTATTCCTTAGGTTGATTTTATAACTACTGGGCTAGTGATTGCACTAAAAAGGTTGTATGCGCATATTTACCCTGTGCCTGGTTATTTTTCTTCTGAAGTAAGTTTGTAGTATATTCATTGATTGGCTTTATAGATTTTAAAAAAAAATTTATTGGTTGTAAAATATGTGTGTTTAATATTCTATTTTTTATCTTTACAGCAATTTTCTTTATGGTCCTGATTGAATTTGTATTTTGTATATATTTTTGATTGTGTTTTTATGAATGTAACTATTTACCATCTAGCCACATTTGTATGACCTCTGAGGAAGGCCGATTCGGCCGAAACGCGTCAGGTGATTTTTTTTAGCCCTGGTTATGATTATGGTTTATGTACATTGGTTGTAATTGGGCCCCTATATATATTTTAATTTGATATTATCAATAAATACATGTACCTCTTTTTATAAAAAGTTTTTATATTGGCCCTCCTTTCCACTAACCTTTGTTTGGTTTTGAAATGAGTATAAAACCGGGTGCTCATAGAGGATGTTGGATTTTTTCTTGAATATGTTAGAATTTCCTGAGCTATATTGCAAAAGTTTTTATCAATGTTCATAAGAATTAAATGTTATTGTCAATTTCATCACAGTGTTTCTTTGTGTTGATGTATTTCCTGTACTGTGATCCCTTCTTTGATTTTCTCCACCTGGACATTGGCGTCACTATTGGCCCCACCTGGATATTGGCAAAGTTAGGATTGGCTGATGGGTAACTGGAAAAGAATCCTGTGACACCTTCAAGATCTTAAACCTTCTTCTTGCCTATTCTGGCCAGCTCCCTCTTCCCAGTAGCCACCTGGCTGCTTCATGATATATCCAGAATAGATATTAAAACAATGGATTTGTTTCTGGCCATGATCCCATGAGGCTACATGGCCTGGAACAACTTCTTTTCCTCCTCTCATGTTGTTTGTTAATATCCAGCCTGATGAAGGCTGGAAAACTCAAAAGCTTGTACACTGTTTTGTGCCATTTTGGTTGGTCTTAATAAAAGGTATTACATGGATTTTAAAGAGGTTTTTATAGAAAGCACATTTCTTCCACTCTCATAGGCATGAATCAAAAATGCTGGGAAGCAGAGCTACAAACTTTAGAGTTTCACATTATTGGAAACAGCCAACATTGCCTGGAAAATTAGAACTGTTCTTGAAGATGTGGGAATTGTTATCAATAGTCAAACTAAAAGCAATTCAAAAACCTATGACTAGTTTAGATGACAATAATTGGCTGCATTAAAAAAAATCCTTCAGCCATTAGGAATGATTGGATAAGAAATAAATAAGAACATAATCACATGGATGAGACCCATGGTCTATTTAGTCCAGCATCCTGTTTCACATAGTGGGCAACCTGGATGGCCAATAAAAGGCCTTCCCCTGATGTTGCCTCCTGGCTCTGGGATTCAGAGGATTACTGCCTCTGGATGTGGAAGTAGCATTGAAGTTGCACTCAAAATGCACAAAACTGTCAGTTGCCTAAGAACTAGGCTCCAAAATTCATGTGACAATAAATCAGTAGTTCACCATACTGAGTAAATTTAGTAATGGGGTCACCATATCAAAAGGGCTGGGAACCACTACACCAGGGGTGACCAAATTGCAGCTTGGGAGCCCTATGGCTCTTTCACACAGTCTAATTTAATGTTAATAAAAAGCAAATTTGCATATTTTTCAATAAAAAAGATGTTTGTAATATTTTTTCATGTCTTGCGGATCTCAAACATCTGATGTTTATTCTATGTGGCTGTTACGTTAAGCAAGTTTGGCCACCACTGCCCTACACTATTGCATACCTTATACAATCAAGCTCAAGGCAGGTTATATATTTGAAAGCTCTGGCCTCTCCAGTAAATTATTTGCCACATTTCAAACCCATCTAGAGAATATGTCACACACCACAATATAATGCTAGATTTATTAGGACTGGCTGTAGTTATTCAGTAAATTTAATAAAATCAATACATTTCTGTGAATCCATGATATGGGAGATAAAACTATGCCTGCAGCATAACCACCTGCATTTATTTAAACCTTGGAACTCTCCTTCCATCTCCATAACAATCTTACTCCAAACAATATCTCCCTTTCTTCTCTAGTATTGGGTCTAACATATAGTCTTACACTCATTATTACAAAAGGAAGGACAATAAAACTCCAAAATCTTTGTTGTTTAGCCATCAGTTTGTAAAGACATCTGGTGTTCTGTTGCTGTTTTAAAATTATATAGATTCTGTTGGCCTCTGGAGAGAGTTCAAAACTGTCAAGACCTGTTGTCAGGGCTTGTTTTGCCTGTGGATAGCGAAGCTGTGCACTTTATATCTTAATTGCACTTAATTTCTGCCTCAGCAGGAGATGGTATGTAAAATGAAAGCTGCTACCTAGCTGCCAACAACTATAAAATGGTTCTCTTCCTTCCAGGATCTGAGGCTTGGTTTTTAGTGGCACATCTGTTTCTGAACTGTTGCCACTGCAGCCAGGGGCTCATATAATTGCAGGGATGGACTGGGAGGAAAAAACAGCTCCTGAAAAGACCCCGTTCCCCAGCCCACTCTGGCCACCCCTCCCAAAGGAGGGACTACCTGTCTAATCTCCTGGCTCACTCCAGTCCTACCCAAAGACAGGGAGAGAAGAAGAAGAAGAAGAAGAAGAAGAGATTGGATTTATACCCTGCCCTTCACTACCCAAAGGTGTCTCAGAGCGGCTTACAAACTCCTTTCCCTTCCCCTCCCCACAACAGACACCCTGTGAGATAGGTGGGGCTGAGAGAGCTCTAACAGACACTACTCTTTTTTCAAGAACAGCTCTTATCAGAACTACGGTTTGCCCAAGGTCATCCAGCCAGGTGCAAGTGGAGGAGTGGGGAATCAAACCCGGTTCTCCCAGATTAGAGTCCGCGCACTTAACCACTACACCAAAAAGAGGTAGCCTGTCTGTCCAGTCAGCCCAGCACAGTCTCCATTCACCACACAGACCTTGGGCAGGCTGTGTACAGCCCTTGGGCAACTGGGCTGGACCGACCCAGGTGCCAGAGACAGCCATCGGTGCATCAGGATAAGTCGTAGTGGCTATAATGGCCAATCCACCTGTGATTGGTGTAGCGTGCCTGCCCACACAAGTGGTATTAGGGTTGCTAGAAGTATCCAGCGAAGTAACAGTCCAAACAGTCTTGTGTAAACTATATACAGAATTATTTACACAAGCTATATACATCAAGATACGCACTGACAAAGTGCTTCGCCATACACAGGTACATTAGTAGGAAGATACTCTGCACAATGCATGAACACTTATATACAAGTAGTAGCCAATCAGGTTAAGACTGCTTAGTCATTCTGACTTGGTCACTCATTACAAGACAGAACAGGACAGAACCAGTTCATTCCCGCTGAGCTGACTGCCTAGAACTGTCAAGTAGATCAAACTCATCACCAGCTTATGTCTTATTCTAGCAAGTGAAAGCTGACATGCAAATCTACCTCACACAGATTGTGGTGAAGGTTCAGTGATCAGCAGGGGGACCATTTATGCTGCCAGAACACCTTGGGAGGAAATGATATAGACAGAAATAATTATACATCATGATTTACATCTTAATTTGTACGTCAGCCATATCCACCACACTGTACTGTGTACTGGCTATCTAGAACTATTGCGTTTAGCAGTTACCCTCCTAGAGCCTCAGGAAGCTGGTTGGCTTCATGTTCCTTTGGCATTCTCATGGAAACATCCCTTTGGATATTATCTATTCAACTTATCTATAAAATACACATGCTTATTTGTATAAATGCTGCTGCTGCTTCAAGATGCATGGGCCTGTCAACTGTGTTCTGTGGCTATACACTAAACTTTGGCAGTATCCCTTTTATTCCATTTTAGCTCATGTTCCAAAACTATGAAATGCACAGTTTGGAATGAGTTCAATATTGGGTGCATGACAAATGAGCCTCACTTTACAAATGTAACGAATGAAATGAATATTGATTAAGATAAGACTGTGTAATAAAAATCCAATATTAAATCTTATCTCTTCTGCAAGTGAAAGGTATAATCACCCTTTCTTAAATTTCCATTTAGCCCCTGTAGTTGAATTAAATAAGAAAAAGAAGCTATATTTGCTTTTTCCCAGCAGAGGAATGAAGTTTTTCATGCACCAACTATATGCTTGATATGGAGGAGAACGTTTTAATAAGAGAAATTTGATCAGAAAATGAATTATACAACTCAAATTAAAAACATGGACATTGAGACAAAGAATAAGAATCACTGGTGATGATGAGGAAAAATTCTGTTACGTTTCCTTGGTTAGATGTTCTCAGTTTTTATTTTCTAGCTGCTCTGAAAAGTTTTTCAAAGCCAGAACATTTAAATGGCTCAAATTGTGGCAAATGTCTGATCACAGCCTACATAAGCAGCTCAAGTAGTAATGGAAAGAGCTGAGGATCAAGTAGAGCACTTGCTCTGCATGCAGAACTTCCAGTTTCAGTCTGTGGCATCTCCAGTTAAAATATCTCAGGTAGTAGGTGTGTGTTTTTTTGCATTTAATTTTGTTATTCATTCCCCTCACATTCCAGGACATTACTAATTCAAGTTTTAGTGTCACCAAAATATACTCTATACTACTGTACCAACCGCTAATGTTTCACTTTTAGCACTTTCTTATCTATTAGTCCCTTTCCCTTCTACTAACTCTGTAACCTTTCTAACCTCTATAAACTATATCAACTAAACTACTTGAATTCACTATAATATTGTTTCTACCTTTTGGGTTTTCCTATCCTAGCCCTTTTACTGTCCTGTCAAACTTTCTTTTCTTTACTTGGAGCTAACTTCTTTACTCAATCCCCTTGCCCCTTCCCTCCTCCCTCTGAGTGTTTTAAGAAAGAAACATTTGTTATAATAAAATTTAACTGTAAAATTATGCTCCTTATAATTTGTTTTATCTAAGCCAAAGCTTGAAGCAATAACTATTATACCTATATATATGCAGTTAACATTCCATTATCTGAGCGTCTATTTTACATTGCTGTTTTGCTAGTAGAGATTCTCACTGGTACTTTGCTGGCTTTTATCGGTGTTAGAGTCATAGAGAGTCTCCTTTTTGCAGATTATTTTACAGATTCTGATACTGGAGCAAGGTTTAAGATTTGCAGGAGTCGGGTTCCGCTGTCCTCATCAGTCGCATG